CACCATATGATGCTAGAACTGAACCCAGGTCCTCTACTAGAGCTATCTCTACCACTGAGCTATCTCTTCAGCTTCTGGCTTTGAACTCTTGAGTTTTCTGTTTTCACCTCCCAAATGGTAGGGTTATAATCAGGTGTCACTATGTATGCCTAGAAAGAAAGCTGGGTAGGGCTAGAAGTGTAGCTTAGTGGTGAGACATTTGACTATCTGTATACAGAGCTGGGGAGGTTCTGTCTGTAACACAGAGATTTGAGTGCCTGTTTAGGACAAGGTAGTCTATTTTGATGTTTCTAGAATTGTGAATGAATTTGAAATGTTTCCCTTTTAAATTCAGTTTATAAAACATTATTAGTATATGTTCTTATGGACATCAATGTAGTAGCGTTATTTGGATCAAATTGTTGGTTGTTTTCATCAGTTTGTTTTGCCATTAAAATTGCACATATCTTATCTTTTGGTTTTATATTAGTTGTTTAGAACAAGTGTAACTTTTAAACTGTGGTCAGTTTTCATAGACTTTTAAAAAAAATCTTATTTCATGTGAGTGTTTTGCCTGTTTGCATATCTATGTACTATGTGTGTGCCTGGTGCCCATAGAAAAGAGGCCCCTGAAATTGTAGCTACAGACAATTGTAAGCTGCCACGTGGGTGCTAGGAATGAAACTTGGCTCCTGGAAGAACATCTGGTGCTCTTAGCCATGGAGCCATCTCTTTAGCTCCTTCATTTTAGATTTTTACCTCTTAAACATCTGGGGAATCAAAAGGAAACACCTTTAGTGTGTGTGGTGCTAAAGATGGAATTCAGGGTCTTGAAGCATAGCAAGCATGTAACCAGCCGCATTGCACCCTCAGCAGGGGAATTTTCTATTTCAAATGAATAAATGCTTCCAGAATGGAAACTATTGGAGAAAAGACAAATGATCACAGAATCAGTATAGCATTTTGGGGGGAAATGTGGCTATACATCTTCTTGTAAGTATAGGAATATCTAATTTTGAATGATATTTACTTTAAAAATGTTCAAGTAACATTTATTTTTCACAGGAATTTAAAATTATTTTATATGACTTTGAAAAGAGCTGTGCTTTTTAGTGTACCGGCTATATGACAGCTCAGTGATCTAATAGCTAGAGTGCAATAATTAAAACATTAGAGCCATGTGTGATGTTACACACCCATAATAATCTCAGCACCCAGGATATGGAGTCACGAAGATGGAGAGTTCAAGGCCCATTTGGGCCAGATAGGGAGACAGTTGAAAAATAAAAATAAAGCAGTATACATTTGTTCATATAATTTTTGCAACCAAATTACTTTGATTTGGTTATAGTTGAAATTCTATGTGACCTTGATTATAAAGAACTTGATTGAAACTATTTTTAATATTGTAAAAGTAGCAGCTGTTAAATGGGATCCCATATATCCTTTGTGGTTATAGCTGCAAAGATTGTGGCGTGTTCAAAAAAATTATTCTTGTGTTTTAAACCTTTGGATTTTTTTTTTTTGCTACTGCTCTTTACAGAGGCCATTCTCAGTAACACTGACTCTAAACATCATATTGTTGGGTGACTTTGCTAAATAAAAGATAATATATACTTTTGTGATTACTGTTTGTTTTAAAAATAAATTTAGGGACTGGGAATATAATTGAGTTGGTAGAGTGCTTTGCCTCTTATGGAAGCCCTTGGTTCACATAACTGAACATGGTGGTCCTCACATGTAACCCCAACACTAGGAGGTGAAGATGAGGGTCAGAAGTCTAGGGTCATCCCTGCCTAAATATCAAGTCCAAGCCAGGCTGGCCTACATAAGACCCTGCTTCAAAAATCAAATGGTAGTCTAGGTTGTAGCTTAGTGGTAGAGAGCTTGCCTAGCACGCTGGACCTGGATTCTAGTCTCAGTACTGCCACCACTATTAAACCAAACTCCAGAAATTGTTAAAAAGAAAAGAGAAGGGCAAAGAAAAAAGAAGAAAGAAAAGAAAAAGTTCTGGAGACAGGCTCTGCAGTTAAAAGCACCTGCAGTTCTTTCAGAAGATCAGAGTTTGGTTCCCAGAACCCACATCAGGTGGTTCACCAGCACCTGTTAACCCCTCCCCTCTAAATAAATCTTAAAAAACAAAATCAAAATTGTTCGTGGAGGGAGGTAGATGGCTAATGGATGGTTAAGGTCATAGTTGAGGGAGTAGTTGAGCATTAAGAGCGGAGTGTCAGGGCTCCATATGAAGCTCAAGTGCTATAGAGTGCTATAGAGTGCACCCAGCATGCACGAGCCTCTGCGTTTAATTCCTAGTACTCCCTCCCCTACCTAGAACAGGGGGTGGAGGGAAGGAAGAGGAGAGTATTAGTGTACCTTGATTAAGGGAGGGTATTCTGGAGTATAAACTAATTATGCTATTATTTATGTTTTGGGCAATTTTTGTTTCAGTGTCTTTAAAATTTTCTTAAAAATAAATGAACTTGATTATTCATACTAGCTTATGTTCAGTATCTGTTCCCTAAGTGTCTTCTTGTGGAATAGTGATTCTTGAAACTTGGCTGATGGTGGAAATAAGTTCTTGGGTTCCTTTAGATTTACCAAGTCAGACTGTTTAGTAGAAGGTGCTGGAATCTATGCTTTTAAAACAGTCCTCAAGTGATTCTAAAACCTCTCGTGTTTATAGACATACAAAAGGTCTTTTATCGAAAAGGAAAGAGCTCCATAATTTAAATGGAAAGCCTAGTAAGATGAAAGGTAGGTACTTCTGAAAGAATAAATAAAAGGCCTTGTCTTAGGGTTATTATTGTTATGCTGAAACACCATGACCAAAAGTAAGGTGTAGGGGAGAAGTGTTGATTTATTAGGCCACATCACTGTTCATCATTGAAGGACAGGAACTCAAACAGGGCAGCAACCTGGAGGCAGGAGCTGATGCAGAGGCCATGGAGGACTGCTGTTTACTGGCTTGCTCTCCATAGCTTACTCGGTGTGCCTTCTTATAGAGCCCAGGGGTGGTACTATGCTCAATAGGCTGGGCCCTCCCATAGTAATCACTAAGAAAGTGCCCTGTAAGCTTATCTGCAGCCTGATTTTATAGAGACATTTTCTTAGTCTCTCAAATGACTGTAGCCTGTGTCAAGTTGACATAAAAGCAGCCAGCACAGGCCTCCTACTTAAAAATAGAAGAGACTATTCACTGGATACTCACTCCATAGAGTTAGAAGGCAAGTAGTCAAGGACTTGGGGATTTGGAAGCATTTTAACTAACTTGAGTTTTCCATTTGTTTTTAAAGCAATTTTCCTGGGAAAGTAGTGTGGTTCCCAAGCTGCAGAATTCTGGGCAGTACTCTTTAATTTGCAGAGCCACAAAAACAATTTAGTTTCTGTGATCTGAATGTTTATGACCTCGCTAGATTTATTATCTTGGCTAACTTCCAGGAATCTACTCTTGTGGCTGGAGCTGAAGAATTAATCTATAGGTTGCCTGTGTCTTTCTGGATTTTGTTTGAGACAGCCTGGCTATGAGGCCTAGGCTGGCCTTGATCTCATGCTATAGCCTAGAGCTGACCTTGTACTCATGAATTCTGCATGCTTGGCTGCTTGAGTCTTTTTGAATAACCTCCTAAGTTTCCCAGAAGCTCTTTAAACCAGCAACCATATCTGCTTTATGGTGTCTGACACCCAGGAGGTGTGCAGGAGATCTGATTTTGAAGTCAGGTTCTAGTTGGCTTCTTCTAATTGTTATCATGTGTAATCCTACTTACCAGGCTATATTTGTTTTGTAATCATAAGCCCTTGTCAAGCTTCAGAAGAGAGAGACAAAGAAACAACAATGTATTTAAGATAATGGCAGCCACCAGGTATAGTGGCAGATACCTATAATCCCACTTACTTGGTTGACTATGGAGGAGGAGTCAGTGTTAAAGGCCATTGCTTTTTGTTGTTGTTGTTGTTGCTTTTTAAATAATGGCATCTCACTCCTTTACAGCATTTAGTAGATCCCCATTCTAATCAAATACTGGTCCAGTTGCTTAGTTTCTTCTGACCGTTAAGTCCCTGGTGGGCTCTGTGAAATAGAAGTTGAAGGAGAGTCTACACAAGAGAATGAAATTGTGCTAGAGAATACTCACACCAGAGAGATATTTAGCCACGTGGACCAGGCACTCAGTGACAGTCCTCCTGAGGTTTACAAAGCTGAGAATGGCAAGTCAGCTTTTGACTGAGCCTGAGCCTGAGCCAGAGCCAATATTTAGTATTCTGCCTCAGTTTGGGTCTTAATTAGTTATATTTAAAATCTCTGATTATAGTAAATCTTTGGTTTATATAAAAGTCCTGGGGAGGGGACCTCAAGTAAGAATAGAAAGAATCTAATCAGAGTTGTAGTTTAGATATATCATTGTTTCTCATGCGGTGCTTTGAATCTATAGCAACCAAGTAGGATGCTGTTAGAAATCATCTGGAAAGGAATGAGGGCTCAGGAAGGACCATATAATGGGGGATAAAGAAGAGTAAGGAGAAGTGAGATCATTTAATAGGCACAGTTACCAGAGCGTAGTTACCAAAAGGATTGGGGGCAGTGCTTAATATGACCTTGGGGTTTCTTTTATTTGTTTTTCACTTTTTATTTTTTGTTTCCTGAGACAGGGTTTAACTAGGTAGCAGCCCTAGCTGTCCTGGAATTCATTCTGTAGACCACGCTGGCCGCATACTCACAGTTTTCAGAGATATATATCATATATAAATTAGTATCAATTTGTTTAGTTGTGTCTTTTAATTTTTCAATTGAGGGCTTTGTAACTTTTGTCTTTGGGAAATTAAGATAAAGTCTTGAAATTTGAACTCTTTCACAATACATGCTTATGTTTTGATATCTATCCCCAGAATTTAAAAAATGCATTTATTTCGAAGTAAGGGCAGTAAGCTTTTCTGCCTAAGAGTGGCTGAGGTTATGGGCCTGATTATATTGTTTGTACCTGATTTGTTGCATGGAGAAAAGATTGATGACTGCCTTTGCATTTCAGGTAATTCAGAGATCTGTGGGGCCAGCCAGCCTGAGCCTGCTCACCTTCAGAGTCTATGCAGCACCCAAAAAGGACTCGCCTCACAAAAGTTACATGAAGATTGATGAGGTAACTGCTGATACTAAATGGCACATTATAAACATCTGACTTACTTAGGGAGAGTTTTTATAAATTATATATCAAGATGATGAAAGACTTGTAGTTTTACTTTTTGAGATACTGGATAGTAATGTATTCCCTTAGCACACTTAGAAAATATTTAAAAAGAAGATCTATACATTTTCTTTGTTTTCTCTATGGGAAATTGTTAGACTGATTTTTCTACAGATGATAGTAGAACATAGCTAAGGACATAATTAAGGAATAGCTCATAGATTTCATTTTTAGTGGAGAGCTTACTATATCCCAGTGGATTGTAAGCATAAGTCACTTTTCCTAGTCAGTACTTACTTTCTATTAATTTTTTTTGTCCAATATGTTCTGATCATGATTTTCCTTCCCCCGACTCCTCCCAGATCCTTTCTACCTCCTCAGTTCCACACTTGTGTCTGTCTACCTCTCTTTCTCTCTAGAAAACAAATAGGCAAAGAAAAACTCAAACCATAAGAAAAAGAAAAAACATGAGAAACATTCACACACACACTCTATAAAAAACAAAATCTGAAAACATAATATACAAACAGAAGACTCGTAAGACAAAAAATGCAAAACAAAGCAATATGAGACAGAAAGTCTACAAGAATATCATTGAGTACTTTTTGTATTGACAACCTACTGCTGCTGGGCATGAGGCCTCCTCTTAAGTGTGTTTAATACACCCAATGAGACTTCATTGGTGAGCACTAGTTTTTCCTTTGCAAGAGGTTGTCATTTGGAGATAGCATCTTGGTTAGGGATGGGAGCCTGTGTCTTCTTCCTTTTTTGACCACTGAGGCCCTGTCTAGCTTAAACCCATGCAGGCCCTGTGTATGCTGAATTAGTTGTGCTTCAGTCCTGTTGTGTCTGGAGGACACTATTTTCTTGGAGTTCTCCATTCCCTCTGGTTCTTCCAGCTCTCTTCCTCTGGTGAAGACATCCCGTTTAGGGTTGGGTGTTCCAAAAGCTCTCACTCTCTGTACATTGTCCAGTTGTGGATCTTTGTGTAACTCATTTTTTAGAGTGGCCTGTGTGATTCTGAACTGCTTATCCAAAATACTCACATTTTTTTTTTCTTTCAAAGAATTTAAAGGCTTAGATTTTTTCTGGTTCTTGGCAAGATGAGAGATGCTTAACTACATATTTAGTACATACTAGATCAAAGAAATAAATATCTTCTCTTCATTGTTTATATTCTTTATTGTCTATATTTCCCAGTAATTATTTGGAATTTTTATTTCATTCGATGTCTGTTACCTTGGAATAAGGGGATGTGCTGATGTCTCTAGTAGTCAGGCAAGGTAACTTGAATAGTGTTTATATAAAGCTAGTTAGCCTCCCTTTCCTCTCTTCTTAGACCTTAAAACAGTAGTACTGTTAAGGGGGAAGAGGTGGCTAGTAGTGGCTACTGAGAAGGCTCTTTTCTAGGTGGGCAATGTATTTGCTCACCTGCTTTGATCAGTAGCAGCATGATATTTGCCATGTAAATAGTTATTCTTCAGTTCTCTCAGGTTTTTTCTTAAAAAAGTTGTTTACAACAACAACAAAAAGGACCCAAACAAAGCCTATGGGCTGTTAAAATGGCTCAGTGGATAAAGGCACTTGCTGCCAAGCCTGATGACTTAGTTTGATCCCTAGGACCCATATGGTGGGAGAAAACTGACTCTTGTAAGTTGTCCTCTGACTGCCACACATGTGCCATGACACATACCCTCCCTACAAATATAACCCCCCACCAAACTCCTCTTTTCACTCATTAGAATAGTAGAATTTTTTTCCTCTTTAAGTTTAAGGTAAGATATTACTTCTGTAAAGTGAGAGGGCTTGCCTTGCATGCTTGAGGGCCTAGGTTTAATATCCCATACTACCAAGACAAAACAGTAGAGTAGAGAGGGAGAAGACAGAGCATCTTGGAGTCCTGTCCTCTTGTCCTTGTCTTTACTGAGGAAGTTAGGTACAAAGATCATCTGAAGTAAAGTTAGAGGTTGCATGCAACCCTTAGGGTAACTGTAATTTATAGATTATTATAGAGGGATTAACCTATAAAACTGATCATGTGTTACATGATCTCATGGTATATGCTTTTCTTTTTGTTTTAATATGTTTAGCTTTCACTCTACTCAGTTCCTGAGGGTCATTCTAAATATGTGGAGGAGCCAAGGACTCAACTTGAAGAAAACATCTCACAACTCCGACATCGTTGTGAGCCATATACAAGTCTGTGTCAGGTACATCTACTTAAGAGTTAATAATGAGCACTTGGGAGGCAGAGGCAGGCTGATTTCTGAGTTCGAGGCAAGCCTGATCTACAGAGTGAGTTCCAGGACAGCCAGGGCTACACAGAGAAACCCTGTCTTGAAAAATCAAAAAAAAAAAAAAAGAGTTAATAATGAAAAGTCTATATTGGCAGTATGTTTTTTTATTGTTTGTTTCTTTCCCTCTTCCCTCCCTCCCTTTTTCCCTTCTTCCCTCCTTTCCTCCTTCCCTCCTTTCCTCCTTTCCTTCTTAGAAGTTCACTCTGTAGGGTTGGCATGGAATTCACTACATAGCTCAGACTGTCCTCAGACTGACTGACAATCTTCCTGCCTCACTGACTAGCGTAGGTGCTGAAATTACAGATGTAAGCCATCATGCCCAGCCATGACTTCATGTTTTTAGAAAAAGATGTAATAAGGATCCAAAGATAAGAGTGTCTAACTTGTAAGTGTTCCTTAATGCTACTTGGAGAGCAAGTACAATCAAGTCTGGCATCCTGGTGGCAGCAAGGGGAAGTTCGCTCTCATCAGAAGAGTTGTGACACCTTGGCTAGAGAACAGATGGCTAATAATTACCTTGTTGGTTGGTATTATTTTTTAAAAATTAAAAAAATTTTTTTTATTGGATATTTTATTTCAGATATAATCCCCTTTCCCCATCCCCCACCCTACCCAGGAACCTCCTATCCCATCCCCCCTCCTCCTGCTTCTATGAGGATATGTCTCCACCCACCCTTCCACTCCCACCTCCCCACCCACGATTTCCCCCACACTGGGGTGTCCAACCTTCACTGGACCAAGGACTTCCTCACCCACCTATGCCTGACAATGTCATCCTCCCCCTACATATACAGCTGGGGCCATGGGTCCCTCCCTATGTGCTCCCAGGCTGGTGGTTTAGACCCTGGGAGCTCTGGTTGGTTGGTATTGTTGCTCTCCTCATGGGGCCACAAACCCTTTCGCTCCTTCAGTCTTCTCTCTCACTCCTCCATTGGGAACCCCATGATCAGTTCAATGGTTAGCTGTGAGCATCTGCCTCTGAATATGTCAGGCTCTGGCAGACCTCTAAGGAGACATCTATATCAGGCCTCTGTCAGCATGCACTTCCTGGCATCCACATCAGTGTCTGCCTTTGGTGACTGTACAAGGATGGATACCCAGGTGGAGCAGTCTCTGGATGGCCCCTCTTTCAGTTTCTGTCCCATGCTTTGTTTCCAAATTTGCTCCAATGAGTATTTCGTTACCCTTTCTAAGAAGGGCCAAAGCACCCACACTTTGGTCTTCCTTCTTCATGAGCGTCATGTGGTCTGTGAGTTGAATCTTGGATATTGCAAGCTTTTGGGCTAATATCCAATTATCAGTGAGTGCATAACATGTGTGTTCTTTTGTGATTGGGTTACCTCACTCACGATGATATTTTCTAGTTCCATCCATTTACCTAAGAATTTCTCAAATTCATTGTTTTTAATAGCTGAGTAATATTCCATTGTGTAAATGTACCACATTTTTTGAATCCATTCCTCTGTTGAAGGACATCTGGGTTCTTTCCAGCTTCTGGCTATTATAAACAAGGCTGCTATGAACATAGTGGAGCATGTGTCCTTGTTATATGTTAGAGCATCTTCTGGGTATATGCCCAGGAGTGGTATAGCTGGGTCCTCAGGTAATGCTATGTCCAATTTTCTGAGGAACCACCAGACTGATTTCCAGAGTGGTTGCACCATCTTGCAGTCCCACCAACAATGGAGGACTGTTCCTCTTTCTCCACACCCTCACCAGCATCTGCTGTCACCGAGTTTTTGATCTTGGCCATTCTTACTGGTGTGAGGTGGAATCTCAGGGTTGTTTTGATTTGCATTTCCCTGATGACTGGGGATATTTTACATTTCTTTAGGTGTTTCTCGGCCATTCGAGGTTCCTCAGTTGAGAATTCATTGTTTAGCTCTGTACCCCATTTTTAAATAGGGTTATTTGGTTGTCTGGAGTCTAATTTCTTGAGTTCTTTGTATATATTGGATATTAGCCCTCTATCAGATGTAGGATTGGTAAAGATCTTTTCCCAATCTGTAGGCTGCTGTTTTGTCCTATTGACAGTGTCCTTTGCTTTACAGAAGCTTTGCAATTTTATGAAGTCCCACTTTTTTCGATTGTTGATGTTAGAGCATAAGCCATTAGTGTTCTGTGCAGGAACTTTCCCCCTGTGCCTAGGTATTCGAAGGTCTTCCTCACCTTCTTGTCTATTAGTTTCTATGTATCTGGTTTTATGTGAAGGTCTGGGCTGGCATTTGTGTATGATATCAGTCCAGAAGAAGTCTGGTGTAATTCTTTTAGGTCTGCCTTTATATGTTATTTTACCTTTCCCCCTTACTGCTTTTAGTATTTTTTCTTTGTTTTGTGAATTTGATGTTTTATTATGTGATGGGAGGAATTTCTTTTCTTGTATGCTCATGGACATCTCTTTCTGTAGGTTAGGGAAGTTTTCCTCTATAATTTTATTGAAGATGGCCCTTTAAGTTGGGAATCTTCACTCTCATCTATACGTATTATCCTTAGGTTTGGTCTTCTCATTGTGTCCTGGATTTCCTGAATGTTTTAGGTTAGGAACTTTTTGTATTTTGCATTTTCTTTGATAATTGTGTCAATATTTTCTATGGTATCTTCTGCACCTGAGATTCTCTCTTATATTTCTTGTATTCTGTTGGTGATACTTGCATCTACGACTCCTGATCCTAGATGGTTTTGTTTAATTCCTTCACCTATTTGGTTGTGTTTTCTTGCAGTTCTTTAAGGGATTTTTGTGTTTCCTCTTTAAGGGCTTCTACCTATTCACCTGTGTTCTCCTGTATTTATTTAAGGGAGTTATTTATGTCCTTCTTAAAGTCCTCTATCATCATCAAGAGAAGTGATTTTAATTCTGATCCTGCTTTTCTGGTGTGATGGGGTGTCCAGGACTTGCTATAGTGGGAGAACTGTGTTCCAATGATGCCAAGTAACTTTGGTTTCTGTTGCTTATGTTCTTGCACTTGTCTTTTGCCATCTGGTTAACTCTAGTGCTACCTGTACTCACTGTCTCTGACTGGAGCCTGTCTTTCCAATTATCTTAAGTTTCTGTAAGGCAAAGGACACTGTCAATAGGACAAAACGACAACCAACAAGTTGGGAAAAGATCTTTACCAATCCTACATCTGATAGAGGGCTAATATCCAATATATACAAAGAACTCAAGAAATTAGACTCCAGACAACCAAATAACCCTATTAAAAAATGGGGTATAGAGCTTAACAAAGAATTTTCAGCGGAGGAAACTCGAATGGCCGAGAAACACCTAAAGAAATGTTCAGTATCCTTAGTCGTCAGGGAAATGCAAATCAAAACAACCCTGAGATTCTATCTCACACCAGTCAGATTGGCTAAGATTAAAAACTCAGGTGATAGTAGATGCTGGTGAGGGTGTGGAGAAAGATGAACAGTCCTCCATTGTTGGTGGGACTGCAAGATGGTGCAACCACTTTGGAAATCAGTGTGGCGGTTCCTCAGAAAATTGGACATAGCATTACCTGAGGATCCAGCTATAGCACTCCTAGGCATATACCCAGAAGATGCTCAAACATATAACAAGGACATATGCTCAACTATGTTCATAGCAGCCTTATTTGTAATAGCCAGGAGCTGGAAAGAACCCAGATGTCCTTCAACTGAGGAATGGATTCAAAAAATGTGGTATATTTACACAATGGAGTATTACTCAGCTATTAAAAACAATGAATTCGAGAGTTTCCTAGGTAAATGGATGGAACTAGAAATTATCATCCTGAGTGAAGTAAGCCAATCACAAAAGAACACACATGGTATTCACTCACTGATTATTGGATATTAGCCCAGAACCTTGAAATGCCGAAGATGCAACTCACAGGCCACATGAAGCTCATGAAGAAGGAAGACCAAGTGGGGGTGATTCGGTCCTTCTTAGAAGGAGCAACAAAATACTCAAGGGAGCAAATATGGAGACAAAGTGAGGGACAGAAACTGAAGGAGGGGGTGTCTGAAGACCATTCCACCTGAGTATCCATCCCATGTGCAGTCACCAAAGGTAGATGCTGATGTGGAAGTCAGGAAGTGCATGCTGATAAGAGCCTGATATGGATGTCTCCTCAGAGGTCTTCAAGAGTCTGACATATTCAGAGGCAGATGCTCACAACTAGCCATTGAACTGATAATGGGGTTCCCAATGGAGGAGTTAGAGTGAAGGCCATTAGAGCTGAAAGGGTTTGTGGCCCCATGAGGAGAACAACAATACCAACCAACCACAGCTCCCAGGGTCTAAACCACCAGCCTGGGAGCACTTAGGGAGGGATCCAGGGCTTCAGCTGAATAAGTAAGAGTGGAGGGCCCTGCTGGGCATAGGTGGAAGAAGAGATCCTTGACTTAGTGAATGCTGAACGCCCCAGGGGGTGGGAATTTTGAGGGTGGGGAGGTGGGAGTGTGGGGGAAGGCAGGGGTTACATCCGCAGAGAAGAAGGAGGAGGGGTGAGGGGATAGGAGGTTCCTGGGTGGGTGGGGGATGGGGTAAGGGGACAACATATGGAATGTAATTAAAACATCCAATAAAAAAAAAGAAAGAAAAAAAAGAACTCCTCAGAGTCCAGATGTCTATGTGATCCTGTGATCCTGAGTTCCTGGGTGGAAGAACTGCTGGGACTCAGGCCGCCTCTGGGATCCTGAAATCCTGCTGCTCTGAGTGCAGTGGTTCCTCTAGGATGGCTCAGGATATGGTGTCTTCCCGGAGCAGACCAGCTAGCTGTCTGCCCCAGCCAAAAGGATCAAGGGGGGGTGGAAGGGGAGTGGTATTCCGGAGGGATGGGGTTTGGGTGGCTGATGGGTCCTGATCTCCCCAGGCTCGCAGTTGTAGCTCTGGAGTATAGGGTAGTGGGAGGGGGTTCTTACCTACTGCTGTGAGTGCAGTGACTCCTCTAGGATGGCTCAGGATATGGTGTCTTCACTGGAGCAGACCTGTTGGTTGGTATTATAAAGCTGTTGTGTATATCAGGGAAAACTTAGGCCACCAATTGAAGGAAATGAATAAAAACATAAATGTGTATATCAAAACTGTGCTGTTATTGCTGGGGCAATAACTCAGTTGTTCTGTGAGGAACTGAGTTTAGTCCTTAGCACCCATAAAAGGTAGGCATCGTGGTGGCTTACTTGCAGGGTTGGGGTAACAGAGATTGGTAGATGTTTGGAGCTCACTGGCCTAGCTTAGCCTAATCAGCAAGATCCAGGTCCTAGTGAGAGATTCCATCTTAATAAACAAGATGGCTCCTAAGAAATGACATGCAAGGGTGAACATTTGCTCCCAAACTTGCACTCATATACAGGCAACACAAACCTGTACATACACATACCTGTACATTTTTATCATGTACATAGCTACAGAAAAAATGGGATTTTTTTTCTCCCTTTTGAAATTCTACAAATCACTACAGTCTGAACATCCCTAATCTGAGATTATTTTGGATTTGGACTTTTCCCACTAGGGATATCCAAGCTATAAATCAAAAAAGCTCAAAAAGCAAAAAAAAAAAAAAAAGAAAAAAAGAATCAAAACCAACCAACCAACCAAACAAAACCCCCCTGAAACCTAACAAACATCTGCTCCTATACATTTCAGATCATGGATACTCATACAGGTAAGACTACCCAGGTGTGATGGGATATACCTTTAATTCAGCACTCTGGAGGCAGAGACAGGCATATTTCTTCAAGTTCTGAAACTGACCTGGTCTACATAGTTCAAGGACAGCTAGGCTATAGACAGAGAACTTGTCTCAAAAACAGAGCAAGCAAAACCAACCAACCAAAGCCCCCAGGCATGACTATAGAGTATTTGGGTACTATATTAGGAAGGTAGATGTCATAATAGAATTACATGTTTGAGTACTGAACTTCCTACTCCAGTGACCAAACTACTACAGGTACAGATTGACTTCTGTCCTTGTGCATGTTTTAGGTTCCAGGCATTTGTTGTTATGCAACTGAAAGTATTCTGATTTTAAACATCTGAAACCAAAGTTTGCAGTCTATAGATTGCTTTTGTAGGCTTTTGTACATATTCACTGTACTTGCTCATGATTTTGAAAAGGAAGGAAAAATAAAGAAAATAATATGTAGATGTAGATAAGATGATCCAGGTTTATTTTAATTGAGATCTGCAAATTCAATTTTTACCCAAGACTTTTTGTAAAAATTTAAATTTCATCAATTATGCCACTACTTAAATGTACCATATTTTCTTTATCTTTGGCTGAGGGACATCCAGGTTGTTTCCAGTTTCTGGCTATTAGGAATAAAGCTGCTATGAACATAGTTGTGCAAATGTCCTTTGTGGTAGGATGGAATGTTCTTTGAGGATATGCTAGAAGATCAGTTCTCAATTTTCTGAGAAACCACTATGTTGACTTTCAAAATGGTTTTACAAGTTTTCATTCCCACCAACAATGGAGGAGTGTTCCTTTTTCTCTACATCCTCACCAGCATCTGCTATCACCTGAGTTTTTGATCTTAGCCATTTTGACTGGTCTGAGGTGGAATCTCAGGGTCGTTTTGATTTGTATTTCCCTGATGACTAAGGATGTTGATTGAACACTTCTTTAGGTGCTTCTTGGCTATTAGATTCCTCTGTTGGAAATTCTCTGTTTAGGTCTGTAACCCACATTTTTAATTGAATATTTTGGGGTTTTTTTGATGTCTAGTTTCTTGAGTTCTTTATATATTTTGGATCTTAGCCCTCTGTCAGATGTGGAGTTGGTGAAAATCTTTAACTATTCCGTAACAGGCTGCTGATTTGTCCTATTGACAGTGTCCTTTGCCTTACAGAAGCTTTTGAGTTTCATGAAGTTCATTTTAATTAATTGTTGATCCTAGTGCCTGCACTATTAGTGTTCTGTTCAGGAAGTTATTTCTTGTGCCAATGCATTCAAGACTATTCTTCATGTTCTCTTCTGTGAGCTTTAGTGTATCCAGTTTTATGTTGAGGTCTTTGATCCACTTGGATTTGAGTTTTGTGCAGATAAATATAGATCTATTGGTATTCTACATACTTGCATCTAGTTAGATCAGCACCATTTGTTGAGATGCTTTCTTTTTTCCATTGTATAATTTTGGCTTCTTTATCAAAAATGAGGTGTCCATGGGTATGTGGATTTACATGTTGGTCTTCAGTTCGATTGGATCGATCAGTCTGTCTGGTTTTATGCTAATACCATGTGGTTTTTATTACTACAGGTCTGTAGTAGAGCCTGAAATCAGGGATGATGATACTCTAAAATTTCTTTTATTGTAATTATTCTGGGGTTTTTATTTTTCCATATAAAGTTGGGTAGTGTTCTTTTAAAATTTGAAAGAATTGTATTGGAATCTTGATAGAGATTGCATTAAATCTAGATCACTTTTGATAAGATAGCTATTTTCACTATGTTAATTCTACCAATCCAAAGGAAATCTTTCCATCTTCTGATACCTTTTTCAGTTCCTTTCTTCAAAGATTTTAAGTTCTTGTCATACAGGACTTTTACTTGCTTGGTTAGAGTTATACCAAAATATTTGTATTTGTTTGTGGCTATTGTGAAGGATGTTGTAGAATAACTGGGCTTTGCTGTTGCCATATTGCCCTGGCTCTTGTATTCTTTTCCTGGCCTTTAGTCATCTGGGTTTGGGATAATTACAGGTTTAGGTACTGGTTTCTGAGTTTCTTTGTAGGATAGATACTTGGATTTTTTTCCCCTTGAAATCTTTTCTTTCTGGTCTTCTGGCCTGAGTAGCCTGGGGTTCTTATGGCCAAAGAGTTTTCAGGTCTAGTAGGGTGTCTTTGCTGGGGTTTTGGCGGCCTGTGTGACCGTTGAGGTTTGGGATGGCAGCGTTGCTTCTGGGGTTGTGGGAACTGGTGTGACCTCTGGTATTGTGAATACTGGTGTGGCTCCTGGGGTTCCAGGTTCCAGCTTGGATTCTGGGGTTCCTAGTACTGGATTGGCTTCTGGCAGAGCAGAGGTCTTCTGGAGTTGTAGGCCAGGATATGGAGACAAGAGTGTAGTTCTGATACCTTTTGATATTTCTGTATTTCCTCCTTCTTTATTGTAGAGTTCTTGAGGGTTCTTTTAGCTAAGCCATTTTAAACTTTTATTTATTTATTTTATGTGTATGGGTGTTTTGCTTGCATGTATGTCTGTGCACCATGTGGGTGAGAGTGTCAGATTCTCTGGGACTATAGTTATAGATGGTAGTGAGCTACCATGCAGGTCCTTTTAATCAAACTCAGGTTGTCAGCAAGAACAGCCAGAGCGCTTAACTGCTGAGCCATTGCTTCAGCCCCACGTATAATCCATTCCATTGTTTGGAGGTGGAAACTTATATATTCTTATATATGCTTGCCAGAGCTAGGGATGGAGCTCAGTTCCTTACTCATGCCAGGCAGGCACTTTGCCACTGAGGTATAATTCTAGTTCCACAACACCATTGTATTAAGAGAATGTTGATAACTTCATTACTATAGATTTGGGATGTCTCTTTAAAGGTGAGTTATTGACTTTTTGGTTTCAGTAAAGGTGGTCATTGCTGCTTCAAAAGAGCATTTCCCAAATATAGGCTCTAAAATTATGGCAAACCATAAATAGACTTAATTTGGGAGACAGTGTTAATAAGCTCATGGGGGAAAGGGTCATCTGTGATTTGCAGGACTACCAATTTTCTGTCTTTCTTTTTGGATTTATTTTGGTGTGTGTGTGTGTGTGTGTGTGTGTGTGTGTGTGTGTCTGTCTGTCTGTCTGTCTGTCTGTCTGTGATATGTGCACCTGACTTAGGTGCCTGTGAGGAACAGAGGCATTGCATCCTCCTGGAGCTTGAGTTACAGGCACTTATAAGCCACTTGACACAGGTGTTGGGGTTTGAACTCTTGTCCTCTTCAAGGACAATGTGTATTCTTAACCACTCAGCTATTTCTCCAACTCGTCCATTTTCTTATTATTTCCTTCAGCCTTAAAAGTGAAAAGATTAGGTTTTCAAAACCCCATTCTACTTGGAATCTTTGCTTTCTGTGGCAATAGTAAAGCATTCTGATGAACAGGTTACTGTAGTGAAAGGGACCTTAAAAAAGAGGGGAAAAAAGCAATAAACTGAATGTAGATCCCTTTGTTTAAACACTGTTTAATAGCTGGAGGTATAGCTTAATGGTAGTGTTTATGCTTAAGCCCTAGATCTGTCCCTAGCACCAAAAAGTGTTAATAATGACAATTTATTCAGTAAGCCCTACTCATTCTATTTCTTTTTATCTTCATAGGAAGTATACTCCCATAATAAACCCAAGGTGGAACACTTTGTCCAGTGGGGAGTAGGTAAGTTGAGTTTTAATTAGGCATAATCAGTTACTTCATCCTATTGAACTATTGATTGTACTGGCTTTTCAGGAATAGGCTCTGGAGATCAGAGTCTTTGACATTGTATGGACAAATTTAGAGCTATCTGGATGTTTTCTGGAAGATGATCTGTGTTTGAATTAGGTTTCAGAGGAGTGTTATTTCATGAATCTCTTCAACATTATTAGGATTGTTGGGCTAGCAAATACTCGTACCCTGGAAAAACAAAAGTCCAGAGCTGGGGATGTAGTTCCCACTAGCAGAATGGAATGCTTCTTCTTAAGAGTCTTTGTAGTAGCTCTGTGTTCAGGAGGAAAAAGACAAATATCTCAAATAATTCCCAGTAGCAGAATGCTTCCTTAGCATCTGTGAGGTTCAGTGCTAAAAAAACAATTACAATGCACTATAACTTGCTTACTCCTCACCAGATTTTCTGAATCATACTAATTTATTAGCTGCTATTAATAAATGTTGCACAGGTCAAGTATGGTGACACACGCCTTTAATTCTAGCACTCAGGTGGCAGAAGACAATAATGGATTTCTGCTAGTTCAAGGGCACCTTTTCTACATAGTCAGATCTAGGACAGGCAGAACTACATAGAGAGATCTCTATGTAGTATCTAAAACAACACTACTAAAAAACCTTTTTAAAAAAGGTGCATAAAATCCAGATGCAGGAAGGAATTCAGCTGGTATTCCTGGAAAAGCACACAAATTGTAGTGTTCTTATGTTTTTCAGTTTTATTGTCCTTGGTTGTGTCTCACTTATGGGCCACTTATCCAGTGCACTCATAAACTGAGCTTATAGCCTCTGTTTTGTTTAATTTCAGCCAGGAACTATTAAAATAGTAGAGATATTGACAAATACTTCATTTTCTTTAGGACATCTCAGCACATTAAAAGTCTTAATTTTCTGAGGGTTTGCTCTCATGGTAGAATAACTGTCTCCTAGTTAGGGTTTCCATTGCTGTGAAGAGATACCATGACCACAGCAACACTTAAAAAGGAAAACATTTAATTGGGGTTGGCTTACAGGTCCAGAGGTTCAGTCCATTATCATCATGGGGGAAGCATGATGGCATGTAGGCAGACACCCTGGAGAAGGAGATCAGTGTTCTACATCTAGATCCAGAGGCAGCTGGAAGTAAATGTTACACTGGGTATAGCTTTCTATTCTGCGACTTCAAAGCTCACCCCCTAATGACACAGCTCCTCCAACAAAGCCATACCTTCTAATAGTACCATTTCCTATGGGCTCATGGGGCCCATTTTATTCAAATCATCATAACATATAAGTGAGGAGTCCCCTCACTGTTAACCTGCCATTTCCCACTGATTCATGGCAGCAGACATTATTTGAGATATTTGTCTTTTCTCCTCCTGAACACCGAGTTATACAAAGACTCTTTAAAAGTCTTCCATTCTATCAAGACTGTGAGTCTGTTTTCTAGCAGTCACAGCTAAGGCATCTTTCCAGAATTGAGGCTTTGACTTCAAGTGTGATCTTAAAACCTGTCTTCTTTCCCATTTCTATCTGATTTGCTCCCTTTGGCTCAGCTCACCAAACTCCTCTGGGTATCTTCCTGTCAAGTCCTTTGTATGCATGTCTGAAAGTTGCTTCAAATGACCCAGATAAAAGGATAGAGAGTAAAAGCTGGTTAAAATCAAACTAAACAAAAGACCAGATGGAATTAATACTGACATCACACAAACCCTATAGTAATGTTTAAATGATTACCATATTTCCCAGGGAATCCAGGAAAAGGAAAATTGGCATGTATCTGGCATTACAGGGAGATGAAACTAGTGACTCTTGTTTGTTAACATTCAGTTCAGAGTGCATTTGTTAAGTCACCATCCTGTCAGGCATTGATGATCAAGATTGATTAAGACAGTGGTCAAAGCTAGGCCTTGTGATGGGTTCCACTCGGAATACTAAGGCAGGAGGATAATACAATTAGGCCAGCCTGGGCCACGTAGAAATACCCTGTCTTAAAATAGTAGCCCCCGCATTCACTAGAAAAATGATAGTCACAATCACTGAGATACACATGATAAATCATTTAATATTATCTCAAATACAGAGAAAGTTACAAGGTTGAGAGGAAGTAGATAGGTTAGGAAGAGACTGAGGAGCTAGGAGCAGGGAAGCATTCTGAAAGTGAATCTTCAAGGAGCAGTGTTAGCCATGTTAGCAGTGTTAGTTAAAATGTCGAGGTGGGATTCTGGATAACAAACTACATAGTTGTCACAATGTGATCAATATTTAGAGACAGGATTCAGGCTTTTCCAGGAAGAATTATAAACATAGGGAGGGCTAAGGATAAGTTGAGAGAGAATGAAGGCTTTCTAAATCATGACCTAGCTTCAGGTCATTTATTATTTCATCTGATATTAATGAAATCTTGGCAGTATTCTTTTTTAATTATTAATTTTTAAAGTTAGCATACAAAGTAATGGGTTTTACCATGACAACTTCATAGATATGTGTCATTGTACCTGGTAGTGTTCTTAACAAAAATCCGTTGAATAAGTATCTACTGTTATCACCGAGAGATGTATCACATGTAAGTCTAAGCAATCAACTATGAGAAAACATATATTCTGTGTGGGGAGACAGAAAACACATGTCTGAATGATGAAATACAGAGTACCTTAGGGTGAGATAGCAAGGGTGGTACAGAGAGTAACATCTGATGGGACTTTAGAGAAGAAGGCAGTGTCTGTCTGTGCTGGTGAGTTAGAACCAATTTCCCTGAGGAGACAGTGCCTGAATAGGCACCAGTCTGCTGTGAGACTGGCCCCATAGAGAGGAGAGGAAAGGAGATATCATGCAAATCCGAGTCCTAAGACATACTTAGGCATGGCAAATAAGGTCATATGTTGTATTATTTGTTTCCTGAGTAGGCTCACGGTTGTATTTATTTTTAAATTATTAAATTTTATGGCCAGCAAGAGTGGCTATTTATTTCTAGCATCAACTTTGTTCTACTTTGCTTTTTATTGTTGTGAGAAAACACCATGACCAAAGCAACTTGGGGACGAAAGGGTTTTATTCCAGCTTATAGTTTATAACCCATCATGGAGGGAAGTTAGGGTAGGAACTGATGCAGAGGCCATGGAGGAGTGCTCCTTACTGGCTTGCTCCCCATAGCTTGCTCAGCCTGATTTTTCTTTTCTTTTCTTTTCTTTTCTTTTCTTTTCTTTTCTTTCCTTTCCTTTCCTTTCCTTTCCTTTCCTTTCCTTTCCTTTCCTTTCCTTTCCTTTCTTCCTTCCTTCCTTCCCTTTCTTTCTTTCTTTCTTTCTTTCTTTCT